TACGTTTGACATATTGAGCGGGTCCAAATAGACGCCATTAATTTGAAAGAACGCAAATTCATTTTTTAGCGATGTTTTCACTGCCGTCGCCGTCGTCGTTGCTTAAGGTTCCTAATGGTTTTGTGTTTTGATATAATTTATTCCCTCATGTAAGTTTACATGAAGATTTGCGTACATATAGCACACACTGCGTGCAAATTATTATAAACACAAGCTTTCAGTTTCCGGTTTCCGTCCTGGGTTATGAAAAATGTTTTATTTCCAAAGGTTTAATTACAATATTCAAACTAATTAACCTTTTCTGGTCTAAAATGGAACAAACTATTCCTGGATTTGGCGTTACTCGCTTCACGTCGTCTTCCGCCTCGGTATGTTTTCTCAGCCCGTTTCCCGAGAGTTGTTCTATTGGCTGAGACGATCTCTTCATTCCAAGACACTTTCAACGTCTCGTAACGGGAAAACTAACAGGGGTAGACCCCAAAATTTACAAAGAAGAAAGGCTGAAGTAACGAGATTAATAATCCGACAAAACCGCTAACAGTAACCGGTAATGAATCCAATAAGAACGGCGAAAATTACATTCAAATCATCATGGCGGACTGCACATGACGGAGTAATTCAAACTTGTCACAAACGCTCAAAAAAACAAAATATTTAAAACTAACGTAACCACTACCTAGTTTAAGTGTTCCAACAACTTTCCACTGAGGTGTAGTGTCGAAATCACCTACACAAGCTTGGAAAAAAGCAAAAATTTGACCATATACACCTCTGAAAACGAAACCTTCCAAGCGCAAATAACGCAGTCTGATTGGTCGAATCTCGAGACGCACACCACCTGGTACTCGGTAGTCTCGAGTTTAAACTCTTGGCCACGCTTGTAAAATAGCTAACTGATTCTTCGCCTCCTACCAGTTGCATTGGGATTCGTACCATGTTAATGTTCTATTTTAAATAATTGCCCTAGCTTATCCCTGAAAAACCCCATAAAGGAAGAGAATAATTTTAAAATATTCACTAATAAATTTTAATTTCCAAATTTAATTTTTTGTTTGAAAGCTCGCCTGGACTTAAAGGTATTCATAATTAAAAATAATACTGTATTTACAAGGATGAGCGAAATAATGAAAAGTCATAATCTGTATATTTTTGTCTGTTCTCAGCAATTCGGTGCGAAAATCCTGGGAATCTTACACTAAGAAATGGTAGTGTTATTATATCTGACCCTAAGTACAACATTGGAGCTACACTGGTGTTTGAATGCAATGAAGGTTTTGTACTCAAAGGGAGGAGTACGATAACCTGCCGGAAATTCGGTTGGGATATTCGAAGACTACCTCACTGCAAAGGTAGGTTGGGTACGACACAGGAACTTACTAAAGGCACCCACTCATGTTGTAACACTGAGTAACCCGCAGCCTATTAAAATATTATATGTCAGATTTCCCATGTGTAATTATGATAATATTTTGTTCTATTTATCTAACTGAGGGAGCCCATTCCTTATAAGCCCAGTGGCTTCTCTTGGGCTTCCTCGCCATGAGAGTTTAAGTAATTAGATTTCATTTGATTTGTATAATTTTTTGGCAAACAAAACAATAAACAATAAAGCTGTTACTAGAGGCATGCGCCAACAATATGCTGAAATTAAAATTACTCGAAATCTGTTTAGTCTAATTGTTGAATATTTGACAAACCACAACAAAGCGTATACAAATTACTGGCGAGAGAAATCGATAAAAACCGATATGGGAGAACCAATCGATGAAGCGATGACTTTCTATGATGACTTCCTGATTGATACCTTGAAAATCTATTTATCGACCGCACCAAGTATCCGTCCTAGAGAGATCCCCGTTTTATAGAGGGTCAAGTAAAGGGAGAAAAAAATAAAAAGGCCGGGACCAACCCTAAGTGTCCGTTTTAAAAGGTGTCCGTTGAGAGTGAGTCGACTGTAATTTGTAAAATACTCATCGCTACAAATATACCCATCTGAAGCCATAAAAATAATGAAGAAATGTTTTGCTCTTGCCAAGGTTTAAAACCGCTGAAAGAAACGGAAATGTTAACACTGACAAAAAGTCGATGAAAATCGATAATCGATTAGTAACAACTTTTCCCTTTAATCAATCTATTATATCCTAATAAAGATTTCGAGAGTTGTCGATTATCGACTCTAACGATTGCACTTAAGTCTCATCAGCGACGTATCAATTTAGTTCATATAAAGCAAATTGAGCAAAGTCTGCTAATCACATATAATTACCCATACCGGCTTTGACAGCCTTGATCATGAGGTACTTAAGGACTAGGCCAAACGTCAAACTTTTCAGGAGACGGACTAAAATCTAATTTGGCTCGACCTAAATGAAGTTAAGATCGTCTGCTGGATCAGACATCGAACTTAGGGAGCGTCGAACCAATTGTCATGACTGAATCAGACCAAAAAGCAATTTGAATAAATTCCCTGAACGAGGCTAAATGTACATTATCATACCAAAGTTCAATTTACATGTATTAATTTAGTTCGTCGTATATAAAGATCGACGTTTGTCCCAGAGACGACCCTCAGACGTTCTATCCGTCTGAAGAACGTGTTGGAAGATCCAAAATTTTTCAGTCGAGCTTAAGGTGTTTCGATACAGTTTTTCAGAGGCCATACCGATATTTTTCAATCGCCTTAAAGTGTTTTTTTTTCCTTGTCCGATCGCTATAAAGTTTTCACCAGTAATTGGCTATGGACTGAAATTTGTGAAAATGTAGTTTTAAGTAAAATCGATATTACTATGACAATAATAAACAAAAAACTTTGAAATTGATGAAAGTCGAGTTTTGTTTGATCTAGACCAGCTACTGAAAATCCAACACTAGGAACTTAAAGCTTGGGGTGTAGCAAACAATCTGCGTAAGAAGTAAAAAATTCTGTATGTTTTAATTCGACTAAAACGAAAATATATTTCAAACGTTCAATTTTCAATAGCCGTGATAGATTATTTAATAAAAACGTTATAAATGACTCAAATTATTCTTAAGTAGCGGCAGAATGCTGCTTAATATCATATTTTGATGCTAAGAAATTTTGGTGTATTTTCGTTCTTGCGATCTTGAAAACTAACCCGTTTTCTCACCACCTGTACAAGTGCAACTTCACTCAAAATTTGGACTTTTAGCACTTTTTTGTATATCTCTGAAACGACATGGATATGTGTGTTGTCCGCATTAATTTGGAAAAATTAACGTAACGTCAAAACAGTGAATCTTGTAACGCAGATTTTTGACAGGTTCGTAGGATAGGTTTGTCTTGAAATTTCATCGTGTTACAGTGAATCAATCTTAATGAAAGTTTCAGGCATTATTATATACATTATGAAGATTATGTGTGTTTCAGAGATATACAAAAAAGCGCTAAAAGTCCAAATTTTGAGAGAAGTTGCACTTGTACAGGTGGTGAGAAAACGGGTTAGTTTTCAAGATCGGGAGAACGAAAATACACCAAAATTTCCTAGCACCGAAATATGATATTAAGCAGCATTCTGCCGCTGCTTGAGAACAATTTGAGTCATTTATAACGTCGACTTTATTAAATAAACTATCACGGCTATCGAAAATTTGAGGTTTGATATATATTTTCGTTTTAGTCGAGTTCAAGCATACAGATTTTTTTATTTCTTACGGAGGTTATTAGCTGAACACCAAACTTTAAATTCCTGGTGTTAGATTTTCAGTAGCTGGTCTAGATCGCGCAGAAATAGGCGTTTATTAATTTCAAAGTTTTTTGTTTATTGTTGTCATAGTAATATCGATTTTAACAAAACCTAAATTTTGACAAATTTCAATCTATAGTCAGTCACTGTTGAAAATTTTATAGCGATCAGACAAGGATAAAATCACTTTTAAGCGATTGAAAGATATCGGTATGGCCTCTGGAAAACTATATCGAAAGACCTTAACTGAGTTAGACGCGTCGAACTTTTCCTGAACTTTGCTCATTAAGCCGGTTCGTCTTATGAAAAGTTCGGCGTTTGGCCTAGGCCTAAAGTAATCGGTGATGAGTAAATATTCCATTAAACTTTGACATACTACTAGTTTGTCATTAAAAATTGGGGGGAGGGGAGGAAGATTTCTTGTTTTGACTGCTCCACTGAAATTTTGTTCAGTCCCCAACTATAACGTGAGGAGATTTACTTTTATTATCGAGTTTTTGGAAGACGGACCGTTTTAACACTTTCTTAAAACACTCGTGTCTAAAGTACAATTAAATGATTCGGTTTGAATGCTTTTATATATTATGTGCATGAATTATCTATCTATCTATCTATCTATCTGTCTATCTATCTTACTTACAATATTTTATTTTATTTTTCAGAGAAACTCTGTCCTAATCCAGGGAGACCCAAACGCGGTTATCGGTTGATGTCTGGAAGCTTCAGGATTGGAAGCAAAGTGTGGTTTTCTTGTCAGTCCGGATATATTTTACATGGTTCAAGGGAAAGAACATGTAGGGAAAATTATGAATGGAGTGGATCGCTGACCACCTGTCAGGATCCAGATAGACGTAAGCTAACATAAACGGGATTTCCAACTCATTCATCTTTTTCAGTCTTTTTTTAATTTTCTAACTATTTTTTCCAGAGTTCTTTGGATCACTACCTACAACTCAAAACTATAAATTTTTAATTTTCACGCCCGCCTCCAGAGCCAGGGAAAAGCGCCCTGAGGACGAGATTGGTTGATTTTATAGCAGCCAGCAGTGGGCAAGTGTAAGCCTGCAAAGACTATCTTAAGCTTTGCTTCTATTGTTGCATTGCTTTTCAGGCACAGGCTGCCCAGTCCTTGGCACTCCTATTGGTGGGCGCATATACGGTCAACGTAGAAAATACAGCTATGGTGACATAGTGAAGTTTGAATGTAACGATTGTTTCGTACTTGAAGGCTCAGCAGCAAGAAAATGCACCTTCAACGGGAAATGGAGTGGGAAGGAGGCAATTTGTAAAGGTAGAAATTGCACATAATACATCAACCTACTTCTCACGCCACTAAAAAAGCTGTTCGCTTTTCTGACGAGTCTTTTCAGAGTAAACGGACATTTTTTCGCTATTAAAATTGTAGGATTTGGGAAGGTCGCCGTCATCGCAAACTTTTCAACTTACCATACAATCACGTCCCATTCTCTTGACCCAAATTTACCTAACCACTGTTGTATCACTTGAGCGGAGTGGAAGCAGTATTCTAAAAGAAAATACATACCGATCACCTTGATTTGATACAATTCCTCGCCAAGCTCATTCTCGCAGTTGATGCTGTGGATAAATGAAGTGCACAAAATGCACCCCTGTCTTTCAAGGGGTTTGATTTCAGTAGTGTTTCTCCTGGTCTGGAAAAAAACAAATCAAAGGAAGGAAAAAAAAAAAAGTCTAAATAAAGGAAAATAATAACCAAACAGTTTAATTTGTAAATAACAATGATAATAATAAAAGTAAAATAGCCACCGTTTCTAATGTCTCACAGACCATAGGTTGTAGATTATGCCGAGGAAATATTTAACCCTGCTCCAAAATGCTAAATAGCTGAAAAGGACACGATAGTGTCAGTGGAAATTTTTAAAGGCAAAAAAATGCACGCACTATGCTTGCTACTTCATATGGGTTCCCGACGACTCGAGGACAGGGCAAGAGCCTTATAGCGCGTTTAAAAGTCCCCATATTACCTGAATAAAACTGTAATTCTATTTGTTTAAATGCTCCAATAATCAGGAAAGCAAAACTCAAACTGCAATGAAAAACGTCTGATTTATATATATTTTTTCAGATGAATTAGAAAACCGCTTTAAGGATATTAACTCCATTTTTCTTCGTAAAAATGTGATTGACACTCTAATGGAATACACTTGTAACCACGACAACCAGAGTGGATGCAACAAATCAAAGCCGAGAGAGGGCATGGACACAAGAGGAAGAATGATTAACTTGAACGACAATAGTGGCCTGGATCTTGTGTTTGTTATTGATGCCTCGTCTAGCGTAACAAGAGAAGGATTCCAAAGGGGTTTGAACTTTTCAAAAGAGCTAGTTAGAACTATCGGGACAAGTAAAAGGTACAAATAATTCTGTACATTTGTTTTTCGTTAAAATTAAATTTTTGAAAAAGAAAAATGCAGTTTTGAGACAGCTTTTCAACAAACAAATCTCTTTCAAAATAACGAGATTTTTTTTTTTCACAATCTAACTTTCTCCCATTCTGGTGGAATGAAACAGTGCGTGATCTTTATTAAGTTCAGCGTCGGAATTTTCATATTTCCTTGAGCTGAGTGCTCGTACTGAAAGGTATTTACGGAAGTGTTTCCAGCGTCGTTTTACTAAAATAAACTAAATCCCGGAAGGTTAGTCCCTTATATAAGCCATATACTGAGGTATATGGTTTTCGCGCCGTTTCGGTCTGAAAACGGGTAACTAAGCTTTTAGAGGAAACTAAGGGAGTATATGAACGTAATTGTCGTTTCGATTCCCAATAAATAAGAAAGACGAAGTAGTAATATGCCAGTCCGAAATGGATTTCAAGAAATGTTTTTGTTGGGGTTCTACTCTTAGGTTAGGACTAAGGTTGTTGGCACTAATCTATGTTTAGGTGTAAGGTTAGGGTCCGAAAACGCACCGGTATGGATTTCAGAAGCCAAGTCTAAAAATGGGCTTAGAAAATTGTTCTGAGGGGGTCGATAAAGGCAGCACACCTAAACCAAGAATTTCCAGGAATACCCCTTCCCCGGGGGTTGGAAAAAAGGAAGGAAACTAGAAACTGAGTCGAACCGTTGATTATGAAGAACTATTTATTTTTACACAGATCAGACGGTACCCAAATAGCACTTGTCACTTTTGGTACCGAAGCCAGGCTCTATTTCAACTTAGGAGATGCTGCCGTCGACACGACTGAAAAAGCCATCGAAGTCATTGACAGAGTAAAATATATTGGCGGGACTACTGCTTCTGCTCTTGCTTTGGACATGGTCAGAAGGGACGTTGTACCGTTTGCGCGTAGAGACAGTAAACGGGCAATGATGTTCATAACAGATGGAATGTCTAACATTGGTGGTCCACCGGAGAAAATAGCTGATTTTCTAAGAAAACAGGAGGGATTTGAAATTTTTGCGATTGGTAAAAGTAGTAATGGAAACAAAAATAAATAAATAGATAAAAATAGTTAAAATTGATTAATACAGTGGAACCTCAATTTAAACGATTCAAACGATTTTCTTCAGGCCGGCCAAAATAACTGTAAAATGTATGGAACAGAACCTCGATTTAACGAACGTCGATTTAATCAAATTTTCGTTATAACAAACACAATCAACAAGCGCAAACGTAAAATTTACCTGATAGAAGAAATAAATATGTGAATGCGAAACAGACCAACAAGGATAAAATTTAAAATGTGTAGAGTAGTTTTAAGCAGTTTTGTTTGCCTGTCCTTGAGTTTCTAGTGCCGTTGCTTGGACTGCCTGTTATCACAGTAATCTTTCTGATCCGGAAATGCTGAGTTTTAATTTTGCAAATTAATTCTTAACTATACCTTGATATAACGAACATTTTGGTAGTTTTCCCGAAATTTCGTTAAATAGATGTGTTCGATATAACGAACCCTCGATTTAACGTACAAATTTTTCCCCCAGTCTCTGGGCACTTCGTTAAATCGAGGTTCCACTGTACTTATAATACAAAAAGTGAGCATAGTGGAGTGGAGATTTGCTGACAAAATGCAGCTAATTGTATGTAATATCAGCGGCCCAAACGTTACTGATGTAACCAAGAGTTTGTTTAGACACTTAAATTTGACCGTCCGCTGGGTTCCTCTGGTCCTCTGCATCTTTTAACTTCTATTACTAACGCTTATTTCATTGGGGAAAGAGACCCGATTGCGATACTTTTTTCGATTAATGTTAAACAATTTCATAATAGCCAAATAAAAGGCCTTCAGGTACGTTTTTGTGTGGGAGATAAATACGTTCGGTTATTAATCGTTGTCGTACATTCTTGTTTAGATTTAACTTTGAGCCCTAAATATATGTTTAGGATTATTAAAGAGTGATACAAAATATATATTTCATAACACATTTTCAACTACTGAGGCTATTACTACATTCCCTTACTGGTACTTCTATAACCATAGTGCGATATCACATTGTGTGTTTGCTGTGCTGGATAGGCGGAGTACTGCCAGTCCTCTAAGCGTAGCAGTTTAACAATCTTCGCAAGATATATGGGGAGCCACTGATAGCTTAGTACGATGTCGGGGCGGCGGTGCTGAATGTTTATATGTTGAAGTCCCATAGAATTTAGGAAATTTCATTTTCCAGAACTGTTTCCACCTTGTGCTGCCATTATTGTTCCGATCATTCAAATCCATTTTTTCCACAAAGGGCGCAGAACCAGGATTTGACTTGCAATTCGATTATTGCGGTCGAGATAGTCGCTGTTTTCGAGCATTTCACAACCGCCTACAATGTGGGCTACAGTCTCATCCTTCTTCCACATGATCTGCATTTAGGGGTATCAGCGGAGTGTTAGAGTTTGGCCTGGATGGTTCTCATGCCTAGTGCTTTGTCTTGGGTTGTCACAATTAGGGCTCAGTAATTATTTCATGCGTTGTTGGGGTGAGCTAAAAAGCTTAAAAGCTCAAAGTTTTGGTGAGGTCAGTGTATATTAGTCATAGGTGCAATTTTCATTGATGTGTGGAAATGAAGTCAGCCAGGACTACAACAAGTCGTAAAGCTAGCTATGCCCCTGAAGGTGATCTTAAGTTCGCCGCTAAAGAGCCACTGGAAATTTCTATCTGTTTCTTGGGGTTGGCCCTCAGTAATGGAAAGAAATTTGCCATGGAGCGGCTTATCTGTCCTCATCGATTGAAGTCTCGATTCATTACGAGAATGTCACTCAACTCAATCATTCTACTGTTTATATACTAAGCACCTTCCTGAGGATTCGCGCAGATCTCAGCAAGCAGATCTTTTGGGTTCTGTCACAGTAACTCTCTCTGATACTTTCTTGATGTTTTCAACCATCCCCTTCTTTACTGTACCAAGCGCACAAACAACTACCACATTCTCAGTATTTCTAGTTGTAGGTCTTTGTACTTGCTTTTCTTTTCGATTTCCTTCAGTGCGATGTTTCTATCTAATGGAATAGTCATAGCAGTTTGCAGGTGGAATTCCGTGAATCTTTAACGATGATCATGATGATGTTTTTATTTGTTATCATAGGTGTAGGCAGAAAGGTTAAAATCCGTGAGCTTACAGCCATTGCTGATGATGATGACCACGTGATTTCGGTGAGGAAATATGCTAGTCTTCAAAAAGCCATTAAGAAAGCAGTGTACACAAAGATTGGTAAGAATGCAATTTAGCTTATAACTAGCAGCATGGAACGTTTTCTGAGGGATAAAAAGTTTTTTTTTATGTTAGTTGTTTGTGTTTGTTTCTACTTCGTTTCTTGTTGTTGTTATTGTCGTGTTTTTTTTTTTCCCCTTCGTTTGTTTTTTTTATTATTGTTAAGTTTCCTTTTGTTTTGTTTGGATTCTTTTGCAAATATTGGCTTGTTTTAGTAGATGGAAGAACCTGGCCTCAATAAAAATCTGAAATTCCTAAAGAACGTCTACGTATCATAAAATTTGGAAATTTTGTCAACTTAAACACGACTGCTTTTGGATCCGACTAGATTATTCAGCCTGTGGCGAGAGACCAGTTAGTCGAAAAGTTTGGATTGCTGGGGGACAAAACTCGCACAGTAAAGGGTGGATGAACCCAGTTAATTCAAGAGCTCGGATCGTTGGGGGGAGAAAATCGCAAAAAGGATGGTGGCCCTGGCAAATTGGATTACACAAAGTTGGTAAGATGTACGAGATGACTTCGTTTTCGATAATTAAACATCAAGAAGGAGGAGGTACCTTTGTAATTTTGTTTCTACAGGTATTTTAAAGAAATGTTCTTCGTATTGTGGTTTGCAATTAACACTCAACAAACAAATTCGTTGCCTGAGTTTATGATGCTTAACTCATTCCTTTTAAATATTTCGCTTCACTTAAAATCTGACGACGTGCTCAATAATTTCCTCGTTGACTTCTGTGTTGTTGTTTTAGTTAACCAAGTTCTTTGCAACTATGAAAATAATATACTGTTTGCATGATTATATGCATGTATGTCACTTTTTTAGACCATGTGGAAACCAAGCTTATTTGCGGTGGCGCCTTAATATATCGCCAGTGGATTTTGACTGCAGCGCACTGTTTTTATGCCTGGAATGTCTTCCTGAGGAAATACGTAATCGATGGTATTCCTGGAAAGTAAATACCTCTTTAATAGTTTTGATTATTGAATATTACAAATTCTCAGTCTGATCAATGTTACTATGATTTAATCCGCCCCGAAATATACATAAAGACCATTAAATGGTCAATTGTTTCATGAATTTACAAAAAAAAAAACCCAACAACAACAACAAAAACAACAACAAAAAACAGCATAATACAGCTACAGGCCGATGTTCTGCCTGCGACCAGTCTTCAAATTAATGTAGGCGACTAGCTTGTATTACAACAAGTAATGTAGACCCCGGGGACAAAGAAAACTGTCCAGAATAAGGATTGTCCGTATTAAGTGGTGTCCTGAAAGCGGGGTTTGATTGTAATAGCATTAACGTCTTGATTTAAAAATGTAGGAAAATACATACCATAAACGATGATTAATTACTTAAAATTAATTGAAACTATTTAATTTTATGTTACGTGAATATTTGATTGCTAATAACATATTATGTTAAGCTTCTTATAATTGTTTAACGTGGTTGCTCACGATAGTCGGATCTGTTCTCGTAAACGGCAAGCTCTAGTTCCGATCACCCTTTATGGATTCCTGTTGACTTGCGGTCATTTACGTGGTTTTTATTGTATCCGTTTAGTGATTTTTTATAAATATATTTTTAATTACTACCATCGTGCACTTTTGACGGTGAATTACATTACTCTTTCTGTTCTATTAATTGTTACTCCATTTCTCTTTTTAGATACTTTATCAAGGCAGGTGACCACAACTATTTGAAGAAAGACAATTCAGAGCAGTTGCTGCCTGTAGAAAAGATTTACTTACACCAGGGATTTATTCATAGTATGTTCGTGAATGACATAGCTCTGGTCAAACTTAAAGAGCACGTTGAGCTTGGCAAGTTTGTACGAACTGTTTGCCTACCAGAAAAAAACGAGGGAGATATGGCGACCCCTGCAAAATACGGATATGTTAGTGGCTGGGGGGCAACAAGAGCCTTGAAACCCGGAGAAGATCCAAGAGAAGCTGACCGATACTCAAAAGTCCTTAAATACTCATCTTTCGTGATTCAAACGGATCAAGTGTGTTCAAACAGTACCAAGTACTATTTCAACTCTACAGTGTCATTTTGTGCAGGGGATGGAAACGGAGGAAACGATACTTGCAAGGGTGACAGTGGCGGAGCTTTTGTACTGGAAGGAAAAAGAGAGACTGATTACCGATGGGTTATCTCTGGCCTTGTAAGCTGGGGGGAGGGGTGTGCACAAAAGGACCACTATGGATACTACACAAGAGTTTACCCATATATTGACTGGATCAAAAAGATTGTGACTGCACATTCTTAATCAGAGAATTAGCAAGTTTAATTATTAATGCCTTTTATTATATAGACACGAGTGTTATACTGGAAAATACACCACTCGTAAAATTCATAAAAACTACATCCAGGACCCGAGTGGTTTATTTTCCATAATCTCACACGTGAGTTTATCGATGACGTAATTTCGGTAATTTTCGTCCGAAATTTGTAGGCGTCTTGCGTCTTTTGAATTTTACTTTCACGTTTTTTAAAGTTTTGCTTATTCAGCTCGGTGTTATTTCTCAAGATTATTGTAACCAATCTCTTATATTGCTGTACTGTAAATCTGAGCCGTCACAATTACCTTTTTGCGAATAAAAATCTATTATTTTATCGATGTCTTTTTGTCTATATAATAAAAAGAACATTACACGGGGGCTTGAAGATATGAATTTTATTTTCTCGTTTCAAAAACAATATTTTACTCACTCGCTGCGCTCGTTCGTAAAATATTGTTTTGCCACTCGAAAATACAATTCATATCTTCGCGCCACCGTGTAATATCCTCTATGTATTCTTGCAATCATAACACACCGCTCTGAAAAGCAGTAGCTCGCCGTAACTTTATCGAGTACATTATCTTTTACGTCACTCCGCCCGGACGGGCTTTGCTCACCGAAAAAAATTATGCAAATTAGGCTAAGGGTAGATTGAATCTACCCATGGCTTATGATTAACTGAAACAGGAGATCACAGTTCGCGCCTTCATACGACTGAGGTGTTACTTTGGAATCCTCGGTAATTACTTTTTTCGCACTTGCCGGCATCCAAAAAAAACCGGCGTGGGAATCACGAGACGTGTAAATAAGACATTTCTTGACATAATAAAACGGTTTTCCAGATACGGACGCGCATTTGTTGGCTTTACTCGCGTGGAGACACACGTCAACTGTTACTTCTCACCCGAAATAGTATTCAAGGCATGGCTCTACTGTAAAAAAAAAAAAAAAAACCGCTCTGTATTGATCGCACAACCATAATTGTAAAAGGCGATAGCAAGAGAAATAACTATCACTCGAATGGGATAATCGAAGATCAAGAACCAAACCTTAACGAGAGTGGGGTTTATATCTGTTATTAAAGAGAAACTGAAAATGAAACATAAACCCTTTGCCGACTCAGAAAATATTACGAGAAGCTAAAGTTTACCACCCGAGATACATTTTAATGACGGCCTAAAATCTATTCTTACGGGACTGGAATGAAATTATTTGCAGTTATGTCGATCGAACAGTATACTATCTTCTGTCTATTACTGTGTATAGTCGGCAGGAACATTACACAAAACGGCGTCAGCAACGAGGATCGATGTGATAAATTATAAGTACATTGACTTACCTGTGATAAATTAATGTTTACTCAGTGAGAATAATGTAATCCCAGGGAAACTACGATTCCCGAAACAGGAACATTTGGAATTCTTGGACATCAGTAACTACAACCGACTTATAACAGCTTCGTTTTAATAGCGACTTGATTCTGAAATAATAAACCATGAGAGCTAACGCAAAGCTCATAGGGCACGGCGAAGGGAAGGCAACCAGAGGGTTTGAAGTAATCTGGTGGCCCAAGCTTTTCTCTGGCACTAGCCACGGGAAGTTAACCCTAAGATTCTATTTTGCTAAAGTAATGCTTTGATTTATTTAACGTACGATAATTGACTCGGCTGTGTTTTACAAACACATTTTTTGCAACCCAAGCTTCATAATTAAGCCAGAGAAGCGAAATTTTTGTCGTCGATTTTCATTGACAAAATCATTTGTAAGAACTAATAGACATGTGAGTGTTATAACTTTTCATTTGACGTTTTACAGTACGGATAGCTCGATAACAAGCGGCAAGATAATTTCATTTTTACATACATATATTACCATCGTTTGAACTTAACGAATAATACTAATAATAAAAACGTTTTGATGGTGTTATCATGATTTTGGTTAAAACAATTTTGTCACACTGTGTCGCTGAAAGTTTATCTCAGTACCCAAGCAATAATCAGTGTAACTAAAGTAAATTCTATGCGAATTTCTGAAAGAAAACTAAAGCAAATCAGTGTACACTCCAACACCTGCTGCAAATTATAGTCCTGTGTCAAAGAAAAATAATTTCAAATCACTCAATGATGTTGATGTTGATGATAATAGCAAAAACAATAATAATAATAATAATAATAATAATCCGTCATCAGGTAACAATAGCCCATAAATGAACTGACCACCCAAGAGAAACAGAACCAGTTGGTACAAAAAGAAAATGGTAAAAATTAGGTCCTGTCATCAGATAACAACAGTCCACAAATGAACTGACTACCCAAGAGAAACAGAACCAGTTAGTACAAAATGAAAATGATGAAAATTAAGTCCTGTCATCAGATAACAACAGTCCACAAATGAACTAACTACCCAAGAGAAACAGAACCAGTTAGTACAAAATGAAAACTGTGATGAAAATTAGGTTCTGTCATCAGATAACAACAGTCCACAAATGAACTGACTACCCAAGAGAAACAGAACCAGTTAGTACAAAATGAAAACTGTGATGAAAATTAGTTCCTGTCATCAGATAACAACAGTCCACAAATGAACTGACTACCCAAGAGAAACAGAACCAGTTAGTACAAAATGAAAACTGTGATGAAAATTAGGTTCTGCCATCAGATAACAACAGTCCACAAATGAACTGACTACCCAAGAGAAACAGAACCAGTTAGTACAAAATGAAAACTGTGATGAAAATTAGGTCCTGTCATCAGATAACAACAGTCCACAAATGAACTGACTACCCAAGAGAAACAGAACCAGTTAGTACAAAATGAAAATTATGAAAATTAGATCCTGTCATCAGATAGCAACAGCCCATAAATAAACTGACTACCGAAGAGAAACAGAACAATAAAGCTAAATGTTTTCTTGAAATTGAAGTGACCAGAAAACAGAAATACCTCACTGTATTGGGAATAATTTGATTAAAAACAAACTTACCTCAAGTCTAATATCACTAATATGTAACTTAAGTCCGTTTTAGTGTGACCTCTATCTTAAAGAAAAACAGAATTTACAATCCGGTGGAATGCTTTTCTGGCGAAGAAGACCAGTGATCAAACGAACGTGGAAGCGACGTACACAGTAGCTGGCTCCACTACGGCATAGACCGATTTGGCGGGTTCAAGTTCCCGCGTTGCCACGTCTTTCGTCAGGAAATCTCCTAAATATTTCATTTTTGGAAAAACCCGTTGGACGGACTCCACATATTTCTTTTTTGAGTGCATGCCAATGCTTTTGGGGGGTTGTAACCCTCGACAGACTCGAAATGGTAAACGAAGACTCATACCGTCGACGGTCGCCTTCACTTCAAATGGTTTCGAAATCAAAACCACAGCGCTTTTGAACTTTGAAAGTCTAAGGTAGAATATTAATTAATTAGTAAGAATTTAACTCGGTTACATCGCATGACCGCTGCCAGCTGACCCTCAAAGACAAAAGAAAATGGTACATGTACGCTACCGTCCAGGGTGAGGACAAAACATGGACCAGGGGTCCATGGACCCCCACTTTGGACCGGGTCCATGGACCACTTTCATGGACCGGGTCCATGGACCCCCTGTCATGGACCGGGTCCATGGACAGTTTTTTTAATAATTAGAAATGAACAAAAACAGAAATAGTGCAAAAATAAGGTTAAAAACAACAATAACAACAAACAATGCTCGATTGATCAGTTATGTTTAATTGTGCTTACATAGTGTAAAAAAAAGGGGGGTGGGTACCTCATGCCAAAATACTGCTTGTTCCAATGAATTGTTTTCTCTGATGGGTAGATTATGCTTTGGAGGAAAACCTTTTGACTGAGCAAATGTGAATTTTTGCCGCTTATTTCATACCAAGAGGTCGTGACAAACATATTGATTTTCTACCTCTTTTAAAATGTAAAGCTGTTCATTGCGGCTGATCAAGAGGGTTTTAGGTTGTTTATAAATTTCTCCAAAGTGCATCCTGGATCTGAATAATTCTAAGCCACTTTCTTTTTGTCCATGAATGTCACTTTTTCCTGCAATGTTTTGTCACGCTGGGCCCAGCTCCTTAGCGCTTTTAGCAGGACGATTATAAATTCTCACGGATAGTGATTTACAGATCCAGATCTTGAAGGAGAAGAAGTGGCAGGGATTGTAGCTTAAACTGAAGCTACATCAACTATGGAGAATTGCGATGTGACTCAGTCATGATTGCTCTAAAAGCAATGTATTCTTAACTCCAGCTTGTTTTTCTAAGGTGATGCGAATCTTTGTACTGGAGAGCGTAATTCCTCTCTTGGTGATAACTTTTGAATCAGCTTAATTTAACAGTCTTGCGACTGCACATGTGCAAGCAGAGTGTATGTCATGTAAGCACAACTAAATATTTGTGATCAATCGTGAGCATTGGTCGACAGCGTTTCGTCAAATCTTTTTTTGGCACTATTTCTGTTTTTGAGTGTCCATGGATCTGATGCAAAACCTTCTTATAAAAATAAAAAAAAAAACTGCCCATGGACCTGGTCCATGACAGGGGGTCCATGGACCCGGTCCATGAAAGTGGTCCATGGACCCGGTCCAAAGAGGGGGTCCATGGACCCCTGGTCCATGTTTTGTCCTCACCCCTACCGTCCATTCATTTGAGCGGCACTGGAAACAAGTTTTTGCGGCGCTTTGTCACACACGTCACGTCATGTCACAAGAGGGATTTTCTGACTCCGGCACTCGAGTATTTGTATTTATATATTTATTTGTATTTCCACATGAAATATGGGTCGCTCCTTCCAAAATTTTATCAAAGTGACAAAGGAAATATAAAATGCTTTAATGTAATGTCTTTTAAGCCTGGCGTGCCCCGTCCAAATCACCGGCAGTTTTATCTGGATTTGTTTATCGGTTTTACAGACCAATGGTAAGTCTAAATTCATGTAAATTACTTTCTACGGGTAGATGAAGCGAGCTTTTATTTGTAAGAT